GACCCAGAAGGGACATAGTGTAGGAGAAAAAAATTGGCTGGGTGAAAAAAAATGGGTAGGAGAAAAAAATGGGTAAAAAAAATTGGTGGGAGGAAAATACATATTTTTAAGTTTTTGCGTTCTCTCGCAAAGTTTTGCGTTCCCTCACAAAAATGTTTTGTGTTCCCTCGCAAAGTTTTGCATTATCTCGCAATGATGTTTTGCGTTCTCTTGCAAAACTGTTTCTCCACAAACACTTCCTGTACACTTCACTTATGTAAACCCTCCTGTTTTTGTTGAAATTCTCCTGTTTTTTACAATTCTATCCCACTTTCTTTACATTAAAGCTGTGCGTCGATCGTCGCCTTTCAAATGTTACCTCTGAATCCATGAATGCATAAGCGCTGTCTGACAGATGCGCTCCATACAATAAACTGATCCCAGATCAGCTTCTGTACACACCATTTACAGAGGAGCAAAAGTGCAGGACACTTTGGATTTGGGTGTATGTTTAAACAGACAAATATTATATCTCCAATGAAAAATATTTCATATTTTCATCTCCCCTGAGCCCTTCTGGCTCTGTGAAATGCTTGACTGTTTCCAGTGGTGGTGGTTCCACTATTTGCCACACTGTGTGCAGTCATTAGTGTTCACTGAACACTCTCCTGCATTCTCATTGGCTGCATCCACTTTTGGATTTCCAATGTCTTTTTAACAATGAATCCGGTTCAACCCATTAATTTTATTTCTTAGTTAAACAGATTCTCTTTTATCACATCATAATCACATTTGCTTAAAGAGAGCATCCTAACATCTGATGAGACTTCTTCAAAAGAGATAGCAGTCTCTAAAGACGTCTTGTGATTTCCAGATAAAACAATTAAATCTCTTTACAGCTCTCTTTCACAATGTTCATCAGAAATTCCAGCAGCTTAGACGTCAGAGTATAATGAATGAATTTAGAATTGACCAGTCCATTATTATCCTTCAATGAAACCATTTCTGCTAACTCTCTTTCATTCTAAATTAAAGAGTGGAATTAAATTAAGGTAGCAGAAGCATCCATGTTTTTAAAATTAAATAGTGATTTCTTATGAGGGTTCTTTTAACACCCTCATTTGCAGATCTTTTCATTTCAATATTCACAGTCTCTTTTTTTCGAGAAATTTAATGATCTTTTTAATTGTACAGAGGAGAAAGAAGAATATTTCTGAAAAAAAAACACCCTAATCTTGATTTTATCATCATTATCTTCTAGATCCCTCCGATCATTTTCCTTACTAACACCAGCTTTAGGAGCTAAATAAATGGATTAAGATTGCTCCACACAGCCAACATTAACGTTGAAGTCACTTACCTCTTGCTGGTCATTTATGTGGTCTGTAGCTCCTTAACTTTGTTGCTCAGCTCCCTGACTTTGTGCATTGTTTGACTGGGAAATGATTTAGTTTTCAATACTACAAGATGTAGAAGTGTGCTGTTCAGTTTTATGCGGGCAAGTAAAGTGCTTATGGCCCAAGTCATCACACTCGAAACATCTTAAACATTCGGTGCTAGCATACACCATAAAATAACTCTCTTTGTGAGTGACATGGAAAAAACCTTCAAGGTCCACTCTGGTGAATTGAGATCATGCTTTAGCACTGCGTCATTATATCTGAGAGGGACCACTTTTTACAGGATATTTGATCTTTCTTAATCTTACATTAGTCACTGGAGCAGAAAATGGCATCACTGGAAAAGTTTCCTTGACCCATAGTCCACTAACGGTCAACTTATTTCCAAGAGATTCCGATTTTTTATTCACCTGTGAGCCTGATGATATACTTTCAAACCCAGATTTCTGACCATTAATCAAGAACAATTCCTCCACTGTCACTGTGGGCTCAGGTGCACATCTGCAGACATTTCAGAGTGACAGGGTTGGCATTCCATGCACCGAAACTGCCACCATCCCGGCATCAACCAACCGCACACATACCTAAAAAACGTTTCGTCCTATGCTAATTTAGTTAAAGAAGTGAGTGAGAAAATAAAAGAATAGATAACACAGAACAAATGCAAACGCTCCCAGTGACTCTCTCAACACATACAACTACCAGCATGGAATGCAAACAGAGAAGGAATGAAAGTCCATGACTTTCTTATATAAAGTGTTACTGGTGCAGCCCACGGTCAGCACTTGAGTTCTGCCCACAAATATATATATATATATACACACACACACACACACACACACACACACACACACACATGGGCTGCACGGTGGTACAGTGGGTAGCATGTTTGCCTCAGCAAGAAGGCTGTTAGTTTAAGCATTGACTGGGTCAGTTGGTGTTTCTGTGTGGAGTTTGCATGTTCTCCCCATGTTCGCTTGGGTTTCCTCCGTGTGTTCTGGTTTCCCTCACAAGTCCAAAGACATGCGCTATAGGTGAAATGAATAAACTAAAATTGCCCATTGTGTGTGTTAATGCAAGAGTGTATGAGTGTTTCCCAGTGATGGATTGTAGCTGAAAGGGCATCCGCTACGTAAAACAAATGCTGGATAAGTTGGCGGTTTATTCCTCTGTGGCAACCCAGATTAATAAGGGGACTAAGCCAAAAAAAATTAATGAATGGAAAAATGTTAGGGTGAGCTCAGTGAGGTCTTCTAGTGGCAAAACAAAAATCATTAAATGGCAGAAGCTGACACATGTAAACAATAAAACCCATTTTTACTTCATGAAATACGCATCCATTGACCAAGCCATCACCCTCGTTTGCAAAGCAGTTCACAGAACATGGCGCTCAAAAGTGGACAGCACTAGTGCTTTCCAGTGCAATTCTTTTAAAGTGCTAGTGTTGACTTCGACCATCTGTTGCAAAGGCTCTAGCCAACCTTTGATGTCTGTTCACACTGTAGTGACCTCCGCGTAAATCACTAGATAATGAGTTAGTTTTCTGACAAATATCATTCTTGACAGAGTTCAACAATGTCAAGACAAGTGACATTACCGGTGTAATGTAACTCTGAGTTTTCTCCGGAGTGTTCACTAACCAAGGGCTCGTTAGCATCGCCTGAGAGGAGCGGGGCTTTACCGCGGCCTCCTTTACCGTCAGTTTTGGATCGAGGCAACGTCATGTTTACAGCTAGTTTTAAGTTATGGAACAACAAAACGTTTGCTGTGCTGTTTAATTTATGAATAAATCTGTTACATTCTCCAGGATCGAAAACACGTCCTACATTCTCAACGCGCGATAGCGCCCCCTAAGAATTGTGCTTATAAAAAAAAGGACCAGTGCTGTATGCCTGGTCACTCAGAATTCTGGATATTCTTTGAAACATTCTGGAAGTGGACTGATTTTTTCCTACATTTTTTTTGGCTGAAAAAACAGGCCTAAAACAGACTCTCTCTCTGCACTATTGATGAGAATTTGTTTTGTTAATGTCTGATAGTTCAACACATAACAGCTTCTTTATATTAATCATATTTTTTTAAAAATTAGAATAACAACTATTTAAATATATTTATTTTCATTTTTGTACATGAACGCTTTTTGTGGCTAAACAGTCATTGAAGGTCATGAGGTTCTTGTAGAGTAAGTGACTTACTCTAGTACAATAGCAATTAGATATTAAGGTAGTTGTAACAAGAATAAATATACTACAACATAATCAGCTTTTTTGAGTTTGCAAAGTGAGTTACTGACCAACACAAAGTGAAACATGGTAAAATTTATGTGATTTCTTTATCCCAAGATCAAAATACTCAAAATTATGTGTTTGGACAAAAAAAATTCTTCAGTTAACCACCTGTGATGGGATCACCTGATATGCATGTTAATGCCAGGCCGTAAAGAAAGTCTTAGATTTTGTGGCCAAGATAGCTTAAAAAACAACTGCAAATTATGAAAACATCTTCATTGGTTTGACAGCACGTGTCACACACACACACACACACCACACACACACACACACACACACACACACACACACACACACACACACACATACACACACACACACAAAAACAAGCTGCTAATCCTCGCAGCAAGCGCACATTTTGATCTGAAAACATGTTGACTGATTTTAGCATAATTTATTTGAATTATGTTGTCCTTTCCATCAGTAGCGTACTAAAATTATATATATATATATATATATATATATATATATATATATATATATATATATCATCTGCAATTTATTTTGACCTTGTTTTAACAATGAAACATTGCGAATTTATTTTCACTAAACCTGAACTTATTTAGTTATAACTATTAGTTAGTTACTAATAGTTATTACTATTTAGTTAAGGATATTCATTTAGGCAATCAATTTATTCATCCAATAACAATTCACAGTTAATTGATAGCTTTTTCAGGCTAATATGCTAAAGACAAAGGAACCGTTTAATCAGGGTGTTAAGGGTGTCAAAAAAACTAGTGTGTTAAAAAACTTATACTTTAGATCCCCCACAACTTTACTGACCAATAGTTACTCCAGAACAAGCAAATCAAACCTGTGTCTATATATATATAGTATATAAATATGTATATAGTTTTATTGTAGTCTATGAAATTAGCATATGTTGTGAGGATTTGAGTTCATTTTTCTATTTGTGTTTGCGTTGTGATGATTGGCAGCCCACATGTTGTCAAAATGATGAATAATTTTCTTAATTTGCTGGTGTTTTTTTCTATGCATGTGTTTTCTAAAGTTGCAGAGCGCTAAGCGCTCTCGGCCACTAAGAAGGTTTTGGACAATTAGCAAAAATCTGCGCTGCTGTCTGACAATGGCCACATGTGGATCAAAGTCCCACAGTTTCCCGTCTGGTGTTTCTGTTGTTCCAATTGAATGTGTTCCAGTTTGGTGGATTATGTTTTGGAGAGAATGGGTATGAATGCACAGTCATGGAATGCTAGTGTGCCTGCATGCTTGTGACTGATAAGTTATCCGTGAGCTCCGGTGCCTGTGACACCAAACAATAAAAGCAAAATTCAAGATTGTTATAAATGAGTATTTGTTTGATTAACAGGAAGCACCATATGTGATGTACAAGAAAAACCACATGCATCTGGAAGGCAATGAAAAGTATGAAGGCTACTGTGTTGATTTAGCTTCTGAGATTGCCAAACATGTTGGAATTAAGTACAGACTGTCCATAGTCATGGATGGAAAATATGGTGCCCGTGACCCTGAAACCAAGTCTTGGAATGGGATGGTGGGTGAACTTGTCTATGGGGTAAGTAGCAGTTAAAAAATGAACTTTCTAATTAAAAGACAAAATTTTCTTCGGCAGTTGTCTCTTTAATTATTATCGTAAATGCATACATTATATTGAGTGAGAAATTTCTTGTAAATAAGTGGATTGAAAAAAAGTGAATCGCCTACATTATTATTTAGCCATGGTAGAAAGCATGGCTAGAAATATTTGGCTGTTATGTTTAAGTACAATTGCAGCCAGATCGGATTGGATTTCAAAAATGCTCTGTCCCCGCATGCACTGCTTTGACTTATTTCAATGCTGCTGGATCTTAAAAGTACTTTTCATAGTGCACCCAGGAAGCCCACCATTTTGCATTTGTCACAGCACCTCCTGTTATAAATGGAGAAACATCCAGTGAAATCACTTTCAATTCCCCAAGCTGACACTGAAGATGGAAGACTGTACACAAACTACATGAGCATTAGGCTACTTCATCTGTTCAATTTCCTTACTTCCAGCCTGAGATCAACTGTTTTAATGTGCTAACATTGCTTAAAATGAAAAAGAAAAAACACCATAATGGTGATGGAACCCCTAAGAACAGAAGGTGGTCTATTTCAGGTCAAATAGCCTTTTGATCTGTTGATAAATATGGTTATTTGATTTTGGTAGACTTTTAAATACTATTGCAAATTATTGCTTTTCTGGCTGTCAATATACAGTTGTCAATGCTAAGCCTTTTCTTAAAAGATCATAGTGTAGCTTAAAAAAATAACATAGCTTAGCTCTAGTAGCTTGGACACTTTCAAAAGAACGTTCCCAACCCCGATTTATAATATTAGCATGTAATGATAGTGTAAACATATGAATCACTTGTCATCACAAGTAGGTCAAATTTCATTATTTAGATTTAACAGTGCATATTCGTAAAATGCATTGCTATTTCAAAATTAGAAAAGGTCAAATGTTTCCCGTTGTTGGGTTGCGGCTGGAAGGGCATCTGCTGCATAAAACATATGCTGGATAAGTTGGGGGTTCATTCCGCTGTGGCGACCCCTGATTAATAAAGAGACTTAGCTGAAAAGAAAATAAATTAATGGATGAATGAAAAGGTAATTCAGTTATCAGCATAGAGTTTTTTTCTTACTGTTTAACTATAAACTTTGTCATGAAATGTTAATAATTGATACACTGGATAATCCTATGTTTATTTGGTGAATATCTATCTATCTATCTATCTATCTATCTATCTGTCTGTCTGTCTGTCTGTCTGTCTGTCTGTCTGTCTGTCTGTCTGTCTGTCTGTCTGTCTGTGTGTCTGTCTGTCTGTCTATTATTAGCCTTCCCTTGTATATTTTTCCCCAATTTCTGTTTAACGGAAAGATGTTTTTTTTCAACACATTTCGAAACATAATAGTTTTCAGAATTGATGTAATTTATTTTTGCCGTGATGACTACACAATATTTTACTAGATATTTTACAAGATACTAGTATTACACTTAAAGTGAAATTTAAAGGCTTAATTAGATTAATTGGGCAATTTAAGGTAATTAAGCAAGTCATTGTATAACGATGCTATGTTCTGTAGACAACATAGAAAAAAATAAAAAGCTAATTATAATGACCTTAAAATGTTTTTTTTTTTTTTTAAATAACTGTTTTTATTCTGTCTAAAATATAACAAATAACACTTTCCCCAGAAGTAAAAAAAAAAAAAAGGAAATACTGTGAAAAACTCCTTGCTCTGTAAAACATAATTTGGGAAATATTTGGAGAAAAAAAATCACAGGAGGGCTAAAAATTTTGACCTCAACTGTATGTATGTTTGTATGTGTATCAGGAAAATAATTGTATCATGTTGCGTTCATTGCACTACTGCATGTTCTGCAGTAATATGTTGTGTTCATGTCCCCAATTCCAGAGAGCCGATATAGCCGTCGCACCATTAACAATCACTCTTGTGCGAGAAGAAGTCATTGACTTTTCTAAGCCCTTCATGAGTTTGGGCATCTCCATTATGATCAAGAAACCTCAGAAGTCCAAGCCTGGTGTGTTCTCTTTCCTGGACCCTCTTGCATATGAGATTTGGATGTGTATCGTTTTTGCCTACATCGGCGTCAGTGTGGTGCTTTTCCTAGTGAGCCGCTTCAGCCCCTATGAGTGGCAACTGGATGAGACTGATGAAGTCAAAGACCCCCAGACCCCTCCAGACCCGCCTAATGACTTTGGGATTTTTAACAGCCTATGGTTCTCTCTTGGGGCCTTCATGCAGCAGGGCTGTGATATCTCACCAAGGTTGGTGCCTTATTTCTTTGTCACTTTAATACTTCTAGGCTTAGTACTGATTCTAATTTGTTGCTCAGATGTAGCCGTAATGAAATTTAAGTGTGAAAATGTTTCATTGTGAGTCATTGTTTCAACATTAATATTCATTATACAGTCTGATGCTGAGGATGCAGGGAAATGTGTTGCAACTCTGTCAAAGAGTAATGTGATCAAATGTTTTTGAGCTTTTTTTTCTATCAACTAGATTGAATATTATATTTTAGTGAAATTAACTCATTTCATGTAATTCATTTCACTTTGGTAAATGTCTAAATACAGTGTCATTCACTTGTATAAAACTTTCAAAATAATACCTCACTATCCATCCAGTGTCTGTCATTCAGATGTGTAGTGGCTTTCTTCCAATTCAAAAATGCTGTAAATATTAGTGAAGATTTTTATTTATTTTTTAAACAAAAATAATATGTTACTGGGTAGGTTTTTCTAAAGGTTGTTACTGATAAAAGCATAGCATTACAGCTCCTATTGTGAATTTCTCTAATTTTAAATTCATGAATTTCTTATCTCATTTATTGTTTGAGAAGTCTTTCTGCAGCACAGTAGGCATCTGTGTTGGAGAGGTATTGTTTTTCCATTTAACAGCGGGAAGTTGATTAATAATGACTTCATTGTGCAGATTACTGTTATACATCATTTTGAGAGTCTCTTAAATTCTGCACTGCTGGCTGTAAATTATGCATTCGATACAAATACATTTACTTGATCAATCAACTGGTTGATTGATTGGTTCTCCTATTTTCTGTTTTTAAATAAATTTTGGTTGGAGGAAATGGCTTTATACCCCATCTAAGAAGTCTGGTTTTTCTAAGCCAGTGACAAAGTGATTTTTAATAAATGCATCCATGGCAAAGCCATGTTGTGAAAACATTATAAATACAATACTTGCTATTGTTAATGTAAATTTAAATGTTACTGTATGTACAATGTACTTTTTGTCTTCTTTGTTTATACAATCATTTTTGTTGTTAATAAAATATGCTTTAAGACTAGACATTTGCTTAGAACAAGGAAAGGTAGTATGGTATCGATTGGTCTAAGGTTTAGTTAAAAGGATAATCTTTATCCACAAGGCATGAAGATATAAAGGTATTATCATATTGTCATTATAATTTTTTTGATTTTATATGTAATTTAATCATCAACGATTTCATGCAAAGAACAAACCAACAAATTAATAAAATAACATCATCTAAGATCCTCTAATGCAGAAGACAGAATGAACCATGCCGAACACATTCCAAAACAGAAACAGATTACCCGTCAAGAAGGCAAGCATAGACACCTGAACTATTAGTCCAACTATAGGAGGGGGCTGAGGAAAAACTAGTCATTCCCCCTTTCTTCTCACTGATGAAAATTCTATTAAAGTTTACTTGTAGTGCTGTTCACAATAATTATTCATTCAAAGCAGCATTACAAAAGTTGCACATCATTACATTACAGTCAAAATCTAAGAAGTTAATTAAGAAGTTGTGTATAGGGTTGGCATCATCTCTTAATGGGTCTTTGGTCTGATCAAGTGGCTTTCCACAATCTAGATGCCTCAGGATAGGCATCATGTGGTAAAAATAGTAAGCTAATACAATAAATAGAAGCTAAATTTTTTGACGTTTGATGTTGGCTTGACACGCTTGAATTGGGATTGGCAGTAGGCTTTGAGCACATCGGTTGTCAAGTGGTTGCTAGGCAGTTGCTTACATAAACTGAGTTGTTAAATGGCAAGCCTCATTTACATGTTTGATCCTATTAATTAGCATTGCTAGCATATGTTATTGCACTAATTGTTATTAGCACTGTTAGCATGAGTAGTACACATAAAGTCCTATTTTGCTAGCATGAGTAAAGTGAATCAATACACAGGTACCTACAATGTTCTGATGCGGAGATATTGCTGTTGTGAAATTGTTTCTAGGTTAGTTGTGTTTTGTTGCTATGGAGTTGATTGACAGGTTGGAGTTTTGATACATCAAAACTTCTTGCCAATATGAATGATATAAATCAACCCTGATGTCTCTATGACACTGCAGCATAAAGATATCAATCTGGGGTCTTTATATTGGCAGTCTATGGGATCAGTTACTTGGGTGCTCTAAATGATTGTTAGGGCGTGGCATGTCAGCTTCATAATGAAACCAATCTGTTGCCTGAGTCAAATGACACCAAGGCTCTATGGTTTTTTGGAAGGGAGCTTCTTTACCATTGTTAGTCAATAGGCAAGTTTGGGGTGTTCTTTCACTCCAGGTGTACAACTTATACTTTAGATTAATATGTAGTTTTCCATAGCTTGACAGCCTCTTTGGTTGTGGAAGATTACATGTTTATAAGAATTTCTCATTCTAAGTTATTAAGCATTAAAGTTTGGTCCCATGTTAAATCAATGGGACATTTCCAGGTCAGTTTTTTAAAAACCAAAAGTTGGTCTAGTTGGAAAAGGTACAGTAACAAACTGTAATGCAGAGCATTTAGCCAAACTTGGGACTTGTAGTCTTAAATTACAAGGAGGATATAAGCTCAATTAATTAATTTATTCATTTTCTTTTTGGCTTCTAGCGGCAGTGTTCCAACCAACCTTTTTTACGCCTGCTTGGTTCGCATTTTGTGCAGCACCAAATTTGCCGTATGCCTTAAATCAGAGCCCTGACCTCCTGTTTTTCACCACCGGATCTGTGCTGGAAAGACAACAAGTGGCCCATGGGGTTTCCAATAAGTTATCTAGGAACTGGGCAACATTTTTCAGTTTGTGCTGCCTGGTGGGCTGAGCCATGGGCATGTGGCCCAGCAGCGTAGACCAGGCTCAGATTTGCACAGTCTGATTCAGGAAAAGGAGGCTCGCTGGATCAGGATGCCCTTTTGCCATGTAACCCAGGAACCCTTTTTATCCTCATCAGCTGGGACGTCACATTGTTTTTCATACGGGCAGTGGGCTCACTTCCAAGCTAAAAGCCCTTGTATTTTTTCAAAAGCTGGTTTGCAGAATGAGGATGAAGTCAAAAGTCAATCGTTATAAAACCCCAAGCCCACCGGTCCAACAGAACACAGCTGAAACCATACTCAACTGAGCATTGAAACGTGGTCTGCATAAGGGTGCTGGTGCATATTGTAGACTTCCAGGGACCCAGCCATCATGCCCACCAACCCATTTTGGTGCTTCGCTTTCCACCATGGCATCCTTCCGGGCCAAGGCAGAGAGCTCATCATGTGAGTTCAGGTGCCGGACTTGCTGGGCCAAGAGTCAGCAGGGATAAAGCCCAGGGGTGGGCAGCTGCAGCGGGTATGCGAGGCTAAGATAGATGGGCGATCTGGGTTCTCCCAAAGTATGGGGCAGGGGCTTTGTGCAGAGGGTTTCTACACTTGAAAGAACACCCAGGGCAGGGAGGAACCAAACTCGGCCAATAGAGGCCACCTCGTTAGCTGGTAACTGGGGCCAGGGCCTCCCCCTGGGTCATCACACAAGTTCCAATCGGTCAGTGAGGATGCTTGGCAGGACTGAACCAGGTGCAAGGTGCAAGTCGATGATTTTACTTGTCATCGAAAACTGAACAGGAGGTCAGAGAAATTTGGGGTCAGAGCACATACCTTCAGGCACGGGATGTCCTGACACTTAGGCCAGAATGAGGACCGCCAGACTGGCATGGTATGGCACTTCAGGGGCCCCCGGATGAACAAATAAAGCAGAAACATTAAGAATTGCTGGTTTTCCACAGCTTTTTGAACCCACCAACCTTCTACTTCGTTCCAGAATGACCCACCATCCCCTGGCTGGACTTGGACTTTGAAAGGGCCCTACATGCGGCTCCGACTTCTGTTCCAGCTGAGAGCTTGCTTCCCCAAGGGCAACCCCAAGCTGCTTAAAGCCTCCAAGGGTGCTGAGAGGCCACCAAGGGTGGTTCCTTGAGTCCAGCTTGCCCGGGATTCAGTAACTCTTTCTGGGCTTAGTTTCAGCTGTTAAGGGCCTCTGGGAGAGGCCTCACAGGGCAGTTCCTCAAATCCAGCTTGCCTGGGATTCAGAAACCCTTTCTGGTCTTCGTTTCAACTCCTAAGGACCCCTGGAAATGATTTCCAGGGCATATTTTTAACCTGACGGGAGGTCAGAGAAATTTAGGTTCAGAACGCATACCTCCATGCGTGGGACGTCCCGACACCTAAGCCGGGAATGGGGCCACTTGGTGGGCATGGCTTGGTGCTTCGGCCTCTGAATGAATGACATAATTGCATTTTTCTGAACCCACTTTCCCAAGTGAGAGTTTGACGCTCAAAAAAAAGATTAGGACTTCTAGGGCCATTCTTCCATGCCTAAAATGGCTGCCATAATTAGCAGGAGTTAGTCACTCTTTCTGGGGCAGCTTGTTTTTCTAAAGACCCCTGGATAGGACTTCCAGAACTTTACTTCTATGCCCAAAATGACCACCACAATAAGCAGAAATCAGTCACTCTTTCTGGGCTTCATTTCAGCTCTTAAAGGGACTACTTCATTCCAGAGAGACCCACCATTCCCCAGCTAGTCTTGGGCTTTGAAAGGGCCCTCCAGAGGCCCCGAACTCTATATTCCATGCCCAGCTGGGAGCTTGGTTTTCTAAAGAACCCTGGATAGAACTTTCAGGGCCTTTCTTCCATGCCTAAAACTGCTGCCACAATTACTAGGAATTGGTCAGATTTTCTGGGGCAAAAAAAACCCTGAATAGGACTTCCAGGGTTTTCACCTGAGCCCAGCTTGGACGGAATCAGTCACTATTTCTGGCCTTCCGTGGCCTATCTTACATACCCAAATGGCCCACCACAATTAGCAGGAAATCAGTCACTCTTTCTAGGCTTTGTTTCAGCTGCCAGGGGCCGGTTATTAGTCACCCTTTCTGAGATTTGTCTTAGCTCCTAAGGCCCCCCTTCCGGAGTGTTTTCTGACATTGCCATTTGTGCCCCAAAGGGCTTGCTACTTGCAGCCTTCAAGTTTG